GATGGGCTTGCATGCCTGTGCGCAGAAGTGGGGAGGGAAGGGTGATTTTTTCACGCGCGAATGTGCTGGCACACGACGGAGCATCAAACGGTTGCGATGGCACCTGCCTACGAACGGGGAACGGGAAGGGAGCACGGGGAGGGGGGGCTCAAGGGGCGGACGGGGGGAAGAGGGGGGAGAAACGGGGAGAAGGTCCAGAGGAAGGAGCGGGCGAAAGAGGATGGCCATCCGATGCCAAGGACGTGGAGGTCGACAAAGAAGGCAGAAAAGGGGGACGGGCGAGAGAGAGAGAGAGAGAGAGACGACGACGGCGGCGACGACGATTGGTCGCTTCCTGAATGCCTGGAGGGGTCCTGGACGCTTGTGGGGCTTCTGAGGTCCTTCCGAACCACCGTCCTGCGAACTACGGCATCGTGGAGTGTAAGAGAACTGCTGGAAACTACATTGGAACGGTGTGGGCTCGCGTTTGAGCTCCTGGTGACTCTCCGGACCAGAGGACTCCTTTTGGGGCTGTTTTGGGCCGTCTTGGAGCCCTCTTGGGCCGTCCCGGAATCCTCTGGTGGCCGTTTTGGGAGGCCGGGCCGGCCAGGGGCTTTTCGGGGGCCCTCTTGGGACACTCTTGGGGGCCTCCTGTGGCTCTCTTGGGGCTCTCTTGGGAGTTCTCGGGGCCCTCTGGGGCCCCTCTTGGGCTGCCTCGGGCTTCTCTTGATCCGTCTTGGAGCTCTTTCGTGCCGCCTTGGGCCGCTCATAGAGGCCTCGGAGGCCGTCCTGGGGCGATCTTGAGAGTCTCTGGGTGCCGTGGACGCTGCGAATGCGGAAAAAGCTAATATCTTGAAAAACGTACGTTCCCTCAGGGAATGAGACGATGTTTGGCTCTTGGGGGTCCCTTTTGGGGCCTCTTGGACCGTCTTGGGGGCCTCGTGGGTTGTCTTGAAACCATATTGGGTCCTCTTTGAGCGCTGATGGGCCATCTTGGGGCCCGTTTTGGGCCCGTGGGCTCCGATCGGCAGGGGCGTCCAACTGCCCGGAAGGCCGCCGGGACTCCGAAAGGGCGTCCAGGGCGTTCGTTGGGTGGAGGGCAGGGGCGTCTGGGGTGTCCTGGGGGTGGTGGTCTGGTTTAGGGGGGGGGGGGGGCGGAGGTTCCGGGTAATACAAATATGAGAATCGGTATAGATATACACATATCAACATATATATATATATATATATAAATATAAATAATATATATATATATATATATATTGTGTATACATAGATGTGTATATATATATATATATATATATATATATATATATATATACATAGGTATATATATATATATATACATATATATATATACACCACGGGCCAGCCACAGGCGCCGACTTTTCCGCCAAAGCCATGCCGGGGGGGTCACGTGCGGGCTCTTCCCTCCGAGGATCGGGGCGGGCCTGGTGACCCCGGTGCGGTGTCGCCGCCCGTGGCCGCCTCTCACTGCCGCCCCGTTGTCGCCTCGCGCGCTGGGTGGGTCTGCCCGGACTTCGCCACGCTGCCGCCTCGCAGGCACCTCGTGCGTGCACCCGGGCTGCGGCGCCCACAGAGTACCAGTTTGAAACATATCCCTATCCCCGTGTGTGGCATCACCTCACCCCGATGCCGATCTGAAGGGTTCCCTCAGTTTCTGAGGCCACATCCCTGAGATTGCCCTCAGTAATTATCTGAGGCCACATCCTAAGATTGCCCATCTCAGGGACAGGGATAAGTTCGAGGCTGGTTAACAGAAGGTGCACCACCCAGCGGGCACCGCATGGAGCGTTCCCGAAGGGGCTTCGTCTGTGAGGGTCGAAGGGGCTGCCACCTCCTCCGCGGCGGAGGCTGGCGGAAGTGATACGAGGGCGGTTCCGCCGGCGGAAGTTGGCGGGAGCTTGGCGGAAGCCCGCGAAAGTAAAAGATGCGCCCCCAAGAGACGACTATATTTTTGGGTTCAGGGTCTCCGAACCCCCGACGTCATGATTTTTCCATGGCGCGACCCCACGAGGTCTCGACCCATCCCCCACGACCGGCTTTTCATCCCGAGCTGTTTTTTGACGGCCCCTAGGCCCAGTGCGGGCCCCCCGAGGCCGAACATAGCGAAAAGCCTCCCGTCGTGATTTGCTCATGACCCGAGGGCGTCTGGGTCTCCTGAACCCGCCACATCTAGCCTGCACAGCCGCGGGGCAGCATCTTGCTGATCGGGGGGTCCACGCTGGCCAAAATATTTCTGCCTCGCGAGGGGCCCTGCGGCTGGCTCTCCGCGGACCCTTGAAGAGGCCACCCGGGAGGGAGGAGGGGGCCCACGACATTCAAGCTTACTCGGCGATGGCGGGGTGCACACACTCACACACACAGTCACACACGCGCCACACACACAGTCACACACACACACACACACACGGGCAACACACACACACACACACACACACACACACACACACACACACACACACACACACACACACACACACACACACACACACACACACACACGGGCAACACACACACACACACACGGGCAACACACACACACACACGGGCAACACACACACACACACACGCACGCACGCACGCACGCACGCACGCACGCACGCACGCACGCACGCACCCGTAGCCATTTTGGCTCATGCCAGCCCTGGTGCCAGGGTGGGCAGGCGCGCGCCGTGCCTCTCCTCCTCGTAGGAGAGAGCGGCTCTGTCCTGCTCCCTGTGTCGCGGCCCCTGCGATGGCGGCGACGTGCGACAACGGCAAGGCGAGGCTCGGGGGGCCGCCCGCCCAGGGGTGGCCCAGCAGCAGGAGGGCTCTGGAAAACCAGACCATGGGCCCGTCGGCGGCGCGGAGGGCCGCGAGGCGACGGCGCCAGCTGGCCTGCGAGGCCGGGCTGCGGCGCTGGATCGCCGAGGCCGGCGTGCCGGGGTCCTGGCAGGACCGCGAGCGTGCTGCCCGTCCTGCCTTGCGGCTCGCATCGGCAGGCGCGCGGGCGCCAGGCAGCGCCAGGCGTCGCAGGAATGCGGCCTGGCATGCTGCGGTGGCGCCCAGGGCTGGCTTCGCGCAGGCCTGCGACGCCGCCATCTCGGCGGCGGCGAGCGGCCCTCGGCTCGGCGCGGGCCCCTTTGGCGGCCCGTGCGGCGCCAGCCAGGGCGATGGCGGAGCGATGCTGGCGGACGACCCGACCCGCCTCAGGAGGACGTGGGTTTGCTGCCCCGTGCCGTGCGGGCGGCCTTGCGGGACGCACCCAACAGCCAGGTCCGCCAGGCATGGCTCGAGCGGGTCTACGGCGCTCCTGGGGGCGACGTCGACGACGACGGCCAGGTGCAGCAGCTGACGGCCCAGCGCGACACGCTCATCGAGCAGGTGCGCATGGCTTTGGCGGACCGCGAGGGGATGCAAGTCCGCGTCTCCCTGCAGAGGCGGGGCGCCGCGGCGGGCTCGGAAGCTCAGGCCACCTTCGTCGAGCAGATGGTGCACGAGGTGCGGCGCCTCACCGACGCGCGGCACGAGCTCGAGAAGCAGCTGGAGGCGGACCAGGCGGACTACCTCAGCGCGCTCGCGCGGACTGAGGACGGCTATCTTCACCAGCTGGCGGTGCAGCTGGACGAGCTGGAGTCGGTGAAGAGCCAGTGCGACAGGCTCAGGGAGCAGCTGCACGACGCCGTGGCGGAGTGCCAGGCGCAGAAGAACGTCGTGGCGCTGCAGGCGCAGGACATGAGCAGCTCCAGGCCCGAGCACGCCACCATGATGGGCCTGGACGTGGAAGCCCCGAAGGAGGGGTTAAGGATCGTGCAGCAAGAGTGCCAGCTGCGTGGATGGCCTCATGATCGTGGCAGCGGGAGTGCCAGCTGCTTGGATGGCCTCACCGAGCTGGGATGGCCGTTGCGCCTTTGCCTCGCGCGGGGAGCGGGTTCCGCCTCTGAGGGGCCCCAGCGGTAGAGATGCTGCCCCCCTTGGCGCGGTGTCCGCCGTGGCTGAGGGGCCTGAGGGGCGGTCCGTCCCTTGGGGTGCCTGGGCCCGCATTCGCCGTTGGCGGGGCCTGGGCGCGGCGCGTGTTCTCGCTTTTCAGCCCTCCTTGGCTCCAGGCTGAGGGGCCTAGGGTGGGGCGCGGCCGCGAGGGGGCCAGCGCGCTCTGCACCCTGAGGAGTCGGCGGGAGCGCTGCCCGCGGCTCGGTTCCCTCGGAGGCTCGGCAGGCGACGATGGTCGCTCGAGGGCCCAGCGCACGGGCCTGGCGAGGTGTGGACGCCCCAGGCTGCCGATGCACCAAAGCACCAAAGCACGCACGCACGCACGCACGCACGCACGCACGCACGCACGCACGCACGCACGCACGCACGCACGCACGCACGCACACACACACACACACACACACACACACACACACACACACACACACACACACACACACACACACACAGAGACACACTCACACAACACACACACACACACACACACACACACACTACACACAAGCGCGAGCACACATATACACACACGCACACACATGCACACACACGCAACACGCACGCACACACGCACGCTTTTTGGCGGTCGCGGCCCCGCGGGCAGCGACGAGGCGGAGCAAGTCTGCCCGAGTTGAAACTAAGCGGGCACGCGGCTGGCCCCTCAGAAGATACGCGCGCACGCACGCACGCACGCACAGAACACAGACACGCACTACACCTCCCCTCCTTCCGCGGCGGGGAAGGGATCAAAGGGAGAGGGCTTCCCTTCGACTCAACTGCGACATTGCTCGGTTTCCTCACGTCTGTGTGCGCTTCGGGTGACTTTTTGTTGGGGGATCTGATGTTTGAATGTTGCCACACTCTGGGACGAATGTTTGCCTAAAGGAGGCCCCATACTCAGAATTCGAGGACTTTAGCCAATCGCTCGTCGCTAAGTTTTTTTCTCCTGGGGCTGCCAGCTGGTGCTCTTTACGCTGCCACGCGGCCTGCTCCGGTGCGCCCCTGGAAGCAGCGCTCTTACCCCCGCCGAGGTAGTCTGCGCCGTGCAGCAGGCCGTCGACATGAGCAAGAAGCGGGTATGGACGCGCGACAGGACGGAATTTGATCATATAGTATCACGAATCCTTTATTAATCGACCCCCCACTAAAAAAACTGGACCCCCCTCCAAATGCGACCTAATATTCTGGACCCCCTCTTCGACGGGGCGCCTTAATAAACACGACCCCTTCAGCTCCGATTCAAAGACAGCGCCCTAATAAAACGGACCCCACCAGTTACAAAAAAGGCGCCTGAAAAAAACAGACCTGGGGGACGATCCGTAAGGGATTTGGAGCACAGTCGGCAGGAGATGTAGCGGAGTGGCCGTCGTTGTCATCGCCCATCGCGGCCCCGAGCGTCCGCCGCATCTTCTTGCGCTAGTGCCATGGCAGCACCAGCGCGTGCAAATGAAAGCGGATACACCGTGTGGCTTCGTAGCAGGACAATGGTGTTTGAACATTAGCGGTCGAGCAGTCAGGTCAGTACATGGCTTGACTGAAGTGTTGTCTAGTCACATCCACTGTATATACACGTGTCCGTTTCTGGAGTTGTTCACGAAGAGGTTGCCGTAGTCCCTATGAGGATTGTAAGAGCGGTGATGCGGCCAACGCGTGCTGCGGCCTAGTATATATTGATATATTGCATCCGTGCTATATATATATCACTGATATATACAACATGCCTAAGTGTTTACATATACACATACATGTTCACATACATACATACATGCATGCATACATACATGCATACATGCATGCGTGTATACATGCATACACGCATACACACATGCATGCGCAACCACATACATGCATACATATTTGCATACGTACATTCATACTCACACACATACACTCAAACGCGTGCACACACATGTATACACACACTGCCACACACACACACTCAGACGCGTATGTAGACATGCATGCATGCATGCATGCACACAAACATACACACGTTCACACCTTCACACACGTACATACACATACACATACATACGTCTTTACATGCATGCATATGCATAGATACCATATGCATATACATACATACGCACATATACATACATACATACACACACACATACATACATACATACATACATACATACATGCATACATACATACATACATACATACATACATACACACATACACACATACACACGTACATACATACACACATACACAATACACACATACATACATACGTACATACATACACACATGTATGCACACACATGCAGACAGACAGACATACATACATACACATACATATATACACACATACAATCATACCTACCTATCTACCTACCTACCTACATACATACATACATGCATGCATGTATGCATACATACATGCATGCATACGTGCATGCACGCATTCATACATACATACATACATACATACATACATACATACATACATATATACATACATACATACATACATACATACATACATAGAGACATGCATACATATATACCTAACTACACACATACATACACACATAATGCAAACATATATCGAAGGCGCCTACGGCGAATCAGCGCCGCTCCCTGGATTGTTGGAAGCGCCTGTGTGGCCGACAGTTGGGCTAGGGCTTGGCCAAGTTATCAGACCATGTGTTCCCCGGCCGTCGTTGAAACCCTTCGGGGAACACGTGGGGAAGAGGTGAATGAGGAGAAGAAGGAACAAGGAGGAGGAGGAGGAGGAGGCGGAAGAGGAGGAGGAGTAGGAGGAGGAGGAGGAGGAGGAGGAGGAGGATCGAGGAGGAGGAGGAGTAAACCTCTTGGAAGCTTTTTGGGGCGCTCTGTGGGTCTCCTGGGAGCTTCCTGGGAGCCTCTTGGAGGCCTCTTAGGAGTCTCCTTCGGCCTTCTGGCGGCCTTTGGGGGCTTTTTCGGGGCCTCTTTGGCCGTCTTAGGGCGTTCCTGGGCTGTCTGACGCCGTCGGGAGCCGTCTTGGGGCTCTGGACCGTCTTGGGGCCCTCTTGAGGTGCTTCAGGCCGTCTTGGCGGCCATCTTGGCCGTCATGGAGGCCTCTTGGGGCCCCTTGGGCCCCCCTCTGGGCCGTCTTGGAGGCTCCTTGGGCCGTCCTGGGGCCATCTTAGGGGCCTCATGGGCGCCCCGGGGACGATCTTTGGGCGTGGGCCGTCTTGGGCCGTCGGAAGGCCGAAAAGAAGCAGATGCCAACATCCTTCCAAAACCTTTTGGACAATCAATACCTTCGGCATCGTCGGAGCCTCCGGGAGGACTTCTTGGAGACCTCTTAGGCAGTCTTGGAGGCCTTTGGGGGACTTCTTGGCCGTCTTGGGCCGTCTGGAAGGCTTCTTGGGCAGACTTGAAGGCATCTTGGGCCCTCTCGGGCCTTCTTGGAGGCCATCGTGGACCATTTTTGGCGGCCATTTTGAGCAGTCTTGGAGATGTTTTTGCGCACGTTCGAGGATGTCTCGTGCGAAACGCTCATTCTTATCATAAGGCGTCTTGGGCTAGTATCCCCAACATCGCGATTTGTTTAGGATGTCCCCAGCGAGACGGCAGTTTTTGGAGACGTTAGTGGCGCAGCGGGCGGGCCATTCCGGTTGGCCGGCGCGCTGGGCCAGAGCCCTAAGGGGGCGTTCTTTTGAACAGAAATCAAGAACCAAACCAGTAGGATCTAGCACGCCAGGCACCCCTGTGGCAAGACCACAGGGGGCGGCGGACCTCGTCGCTTTCGGCCCATCCCGCATTCGTGTCTGGGTTGTGGGTCATGGTCCTCTAGGATTAAGTCGGGCGTGTCCCTCTACAGGGGGGAATTTTCAAAAATAAGTTAAGAACTAGTCTGGGGACGATGTTTTGATTTTTTTCGTTGGCATTTTTCCCCAATGAGAGCTTGCCCCTGTAGGGGTCCTAGCGGATTCATATGGTTAGGTTTTGCCGCCGATTTTCGCTGCACGCCCGGGTGCCCGGCGGGGGTGCCCGGGGCTGGGGTGCCCGGGGGGTGCCTGGGGGTGCCCGGGTGCCCGGGTGCCGGGGCGTGCCTTATAGCCCTAAGCCCTACAGCCTTATAGCCCTATAGCCCAATAGCCCTATAGCCCTATAGCCCTACAACTCTATAGCCCTATAGCTCAATAGCCCCATAGCCCTATAGCCCTATAGTTCCCTAGCCCGATAGCCCTGATTGGGGTTTTCTCTTGTATCATTGGAGCACTGAGTATTTTGAAATCGTTCGTCCAAAATCCGCCTGTAGAGGGACCTACCCGACCTAACTCCAGGATGTTCGTTCGGATGTCGCGGGGGGCCTCTCGGGGGCCTCTTGGGGACCGCGCGGAGGCCTCTTGGGAACCGCTGTATGGCCACGCGGGACGTCCTGATGGCCTCTTTGGGGTCTCCTGGGGCCTCCTGAGGGCCTCTGGGCGCCTCCTTGGGGCCATCAGGGGGCCTCCTGGGGCGGAAGGCTCGGATTTTCCGTTCGTGCTCCCTCTCTTGGGCCCTCCTTCGTGTTGTCTGTGGGCCCTCTTGGGACGTCCTGAGCGCCTCTGGGGCCGTCGTTGAGTCCTCTTGCGCCGTCTAGGGGCCCTCTTGTGGGGCCCCTGGGCCGTCTTGAGGCGGTCCTGGGTGCTTCTTGGGCCGTCATGGAGCGTTGGAAGCTCGAAAAGTCGAGGGCCCCCAAAACATTGAAACACCGAAGGGAAACAATGATTTGGGCCTGGCGGGGCTCTCTTGGGACGGCTCTCGGAGTCCTTTGGGTGACGTTTTCTGTGGTTTTTTGTTCTGCCGATTGGAGACCATCTTGGGCGTCTTGGATCGATCGTGCGGCGATTCGGGGTCCTCTTGGACCGTCTTGTGGCCCTCTTGGGCCTGCTGCGCTACCCTGCGACGCACGCGACGTACCCCGGGGAATCCCCGGGAATCACTGTGGAATTGGTGGCCCGGGCCCCTTTAACACCTTGCATGTCTACATTTCTCAGGGCTGCATGAGCCTTGGTGCACTCCACTACGTGGTGAAGGCACGGTGGCGGATGATGCATCTTCTCTCCAGATAATTAATGATTTATCCACGCATAGAGTGAAATACAGGTATATCCCAGGCGCGACGACGACGGGGTCGATGTGCCTCCCCTCTCTTTGGACGACCTTGACGATCGTCTCTTTTGGGATGGGGATTTCATAGCATGGTTCCTGGCCCTCTCAACGCAGAGGGGGATGAGCCAGCCCGACTGTTCAGGAGGGTGTCGGACTCCTTGCGCGATGAGGAAGACGTTTAGCCTCTCATCCCCGCTGTTGGGGAAGCGGGGATTGGACTCGGCATCCGCCTAACTTCGCCACCTTCTGTGGCCGCTGCTGCGTCTTCTGACCAAGCCTCAGCATCTGCTGCGTGGTGAGTGGGTCTTGCCAGAAGCAGGGCCGCTGCTGCCTGGTCTCTGCCAGGTCGCCCCCCGGGTGTTTGTCGCAGCCGCCGACGTTGATGTGCTGTTGTTAATCCAGGAGTGTGACTGTCACAAACAGCAACGAGAGAGGAAGAGAGAGAGAGAGAGAACAAACAAAACAAATAAATCATAAAGCACAGTATTTATGTCAATGCCACCACGGGAGTAGGCACCGCCGCCCCACTTTTTATCGAATGTGGCCGAGTTGATGCAGAATTGGCAAGGTGTGATGACCGCGAGCAGACATTGGGAGGCATGGTAGGAGGAGAAGAGGGCAACGGAAAGAGGTGTCCAAGAGAGAGAGAGAGAGAGAGAGAAAAAAAAAAAAACAAAAAAAATGAGAGAAATAAATAAAGACAGATAACACAAAAAAGAGGTAGAGAGAGAGAGAGAGAGAGAAAACAACATCATTACAGGATTGAGCGCGCCCGGGGTTGTAGGCACCGCCGCCCCACTCGTTTTGGGCCTTGTCGATTCTGCCGGGGAGCCGGGGAGGGCACGGAGGAGAGCCCAAAGTGGAGAGGCGGCGTTGGCCGAGGTGGACGAAGTGCTGGGAGGACGGGGGAGGCCCAGAATTGGGCCGGTGTGCGTGTTTTACATCACAAGCACCATAAGTTAGAGGGGGAGGGGTCTTCCTCCTCCTCCTCCTCCTCCTCCTCCTCCTCCTCCTCTCGGTCCTCCTCCTCCTCCTCCTCCTCCTCCTCCTCCTCCTCCTCCTTCTCTTCCTCCTCCTCCTCCTCTCGGTCCTCCTCCTCCTCCTCCTTCTCCTCCTCCTCCTCCGCCTCCACCTCCTTGCTCCCTCCAACTTATGGTGGTGGTGGTGGAAAACAGGCCTGGAATTGACTTGAGGACGCAGGAGTGGAAGGGGCAAGATCCGGAGGAGGAGGAGGAGGAGGAGGGGAGGACGAGGCGGAGGAGGAGAACGAGGAGGTGCAGGAACATCTGGAGGAGGGGGTTGGTCGAGGAGGAGGAGTGGCAGGAGGATGTGCAGCGGCCGGAAGCGGCTGGGGAGGACTGCAAATGAGGTGCGTGGAGGGTGATGTGACGGCGAGCGACCGCGAAGACATGGACGATGACGGCGACGACGACGACGAAAATTTCGACGACATTCGCGATGACGGGTCGAACGCCCGTAAATGGACACACGAGCGGCCCATTTTTCCCGAACGTTCCCAGGTGGGATGACCGTGGACAGACTTCGGGAGGCATGGTGGGAGCACAGATGGGCCACGTAAAGAGGTATCCAATACGGCCCGGTAGGGCCGGAGAATTTACAAAACCGGCCAGTCGGGAGCCTTGAGACGGGGATCAATGCAGACGGGCGTCTGCCAGAGCACCGGATCTTGCAGGATCCTGCAGGGCCAGGGGTGCACTGACCCGGGCTTGGGTGCAGGATCCTGCAAGGCCTGGCTGTCCCAGGTGGTCTGCGTTGACCCGGGTCAGTAGATCCTCGAGCCAGGACGAAAGCACATCCAATATTGTCCCAAGCGGCGACAGAACCACGAAAGACAGACCGAGCGGCAAAAAGGATTTCTGGAACAGTAGTTATGACCCCTTCGAATGACTTTGGGGGGGGGCCGGAGGGCGTCCAGGACGGCTCGAAAAGGGCTCCAAGAGGGTGGCCAGACGGTCCAAGATAGCTTCAAGATGCCTGAAGGACGGTCCAAGAATCCTCCAATACATCCCAAGGTGGCCAGGGAGGCCCCAAGAGTGCCACCAGAGCACCAGACTTCCGCGAGGCGGAAGTTTCAGCCAGCATGGGCCACAGCTTCCCGACGCGGCCACCGTCGGTCCATCTCAGGAGGTCCTGTGCCCAATGACGCGGGTTCCTCGGTGGCCAAAAGATTGTGCGCCGTGCCCAAAGTGGCGCCCAAAGTTGTACCCAAAAATGCTTTTGAAGTTGCGCTGTGCCCAAGAATGGTACGGATGCGAAGATGTTCCGCGCCGTGGGGCACATTTCTGGGCACCGAGCTATTCTTCTTGGGCACAGCTCGGTTTCTCTCGGGGCGCATGTTTGGGCACGCGGCCGGCCAATTCAGGCATCCATTCCGGGCACCGTGCGGGCTCCGTTTTGGTCGGTTTGGAGACCCCAAACCAGGTGGTGAGATACCAGGTGTTGACCTGGAATCCCCAAAAGTCACCGCCGGGTTTTGGGACACAGGGTCACCGCTAGGCTTTGTGACTCCTGGACCCACCATCGTGAACATCCTCGAGAAAGCACGCGAGTCCCCAAACCGGGTGGTGACACCAAATCACCCGACACTCACTTTCCGGTGTTGTCACCACCACGTTCGGCGAATACCAATTTGGGCGCGCAGGGGGTCCCTTCTGGGCATGTTTCCAGGCATCCGAAGGGTGGGTTGCCAGGGTCCCGTGTCGGTGCAGCGCTGTGGAGTGTCGTGGTGGCGCCGTGTCGTAGCGGCTTCGCGTCGCAAAGGTGAGGCCCAAAGGGGCCGTCAGAGGGGCTGCGCGGGCATTTTGCAAACCGCAAGTTCGGGGGCCAGGAAGGCAGCGGGCAGAGAGGGGAAGGGGCCACGAGGGTACCAGGCCAACCGGGAGGGCCATGGCGAAGCACACCGCGCGTGAACAAGAACATCTAATTTAGGGGGCACCGTTGCTGTCTTGGGTTGGCCTTGTGGCGAAGCGTGCAGCGGATTCCACCGTACCCTCTCAGCGCGGGGCGCCCACGAGGCGCCCCCCGGGCGGCACGGGCCCGCAGCGTGGCGGGAGCCTGGGAGCCTCCCCAGGCGTGGAGCGCCCACGAGGCGGCAGGGGCCCGTAACGTTAAGTCGGGCCTGTCCCTCCCCCGGAGGAGTATTCAAAAATACAAAATCCTCTGGGGAATGTTTTTTGACCATTTTCAGGCTATTTGTGAGTACGTTTTGATTATTGATTTTCCTAAAAAATCCGCCTGTAGGGGGACGCGCCCGACCTAACCGTAACGTAACAAGAAAAACGCAACATCCCGCCCAGGCCTTTCTACGTAAGCAGATTTAAGTGCAAGCGCCGTTTCGGGAATGTGAAGACCAGGTGTTTAGATCGATCGGTTTCGATGCCCCGAGCCCAGACCCTCTCGAGCCGCGAAGAAAAGCACGACGGGAGGTGTTTCGCTATTTTTGGCTTCTGGTGGCCCGTCTTGGGGAATGGGTCCAGACTTCTGCGGGTCTCGTCATGAATGAATCATGACGTCGGGGGTCTGGGAGAGGTGAATGACGCATGCAATTCGGATCAACGGTTATCCCCATCCCACCGATTCTCTTGTCGCCCGAAGGGCGGTCTATGTGGTGTATACATGTGATTCGATTGTTTCGAAGGCCCGCGTACTTTATTGCATAGACGTGCGGGCTCCCTGCCTGGGCGGCGCGGGGGCCGCTCTGACGCGGAGGGAGCTGGCTCGACCTGGCGGTCGAGCCAATATGGTTCGAGCCCCCATGTGCCACGGACAGAGAAGGGAGAGAGGAGGAATGAGGTGGGGAGGAGGCGTCGGAGAGTATGACGCGATGCTGATGATGATGATGATGATGATGATGATGATGATGATGATGATGATGATGATGACGACGACGATGGGAATGATGATGATGATGATGATGATGATGATGATGATGATGATGATGATGATGATGATGATGCTGTACATGTTGATGTTGGTGTTGGTGTTGGTGATGTTGATGATGTTGATGGTGATGGTGTGATGGTGGTGATGGTGATATGGTGATATGGATGATGGTGTGAATGATGATGCTGCTGATGATGGTGGTGATGATGATTGTGATGGTGATGGTGGTGATGGTGATGTTGATGATGATATTGATGGGGAGGAGGAGGGGGCGAGGAGGAGGGGGAGGGGGAGGAGGAGAGGAGGAGGAGGAGGGAGGAGGAGGAGAGGAGGAGGAGGAGGAGGAGGAGGAGGAGGAGGGGGAGGAGGAGGACGAGAGGGAGGACGAGGAGGAGGAGGAGGAGGAGGAGAAGACGGAGGAGGAGGAGGAAAAGGAGGAAAAGGAGGAGGAGGAGGAGGAGGAGGCGGCGCGGCTCTGCGCGAGAGCGCGGGTCGACGCTTGCGCCAGGGGAAAGGCGAAGGTGCCCGATGGCTTCGACGTCGTCAAGGTCAAGCGGAACGAGAACCTGGCGATCTGGAAGAAGTAGCCAGTTACGCTGTCGCGATTGCCCGCCCTTCGCACAGGTGCAGAATCTGCTGGTCCTCGGCCCGCTCGACCCTGGCCTCTCAGATCGCCAAAAGCATAGCCCTCCAGACCTACAGACCTGTCAGGACTGCTTACAACCTCCACGTCTGTCTGAGCCCAAAGGTGTTGGTGCGTTTTGTGTTTGAAACACGTTGTAGTGGTTAACCATCCTGGGAGGTCAGGGTAGCACCTAACGCGGTGTGACCTGCAGCAGCGACAGAAGAATGCACGCCATCCCGCTGATGGTGGTGGGGCGTGGGGCCGACCTCTGGACTCTGGACATCGCCGAGACACCAAGACATGGTGATGTGCGCCATTGCTGCCCATTCGGACCCTGGGGATCGCTGTCGTGCCCGAGTGAAGCGAGAACGGCGAATGACCCTGGGGGCCCGACTCGTTTCCTTATCTTCCAGTGGCGAGATGACGGCACCGTCGCGAAGCGCGAAGCCGAGTCACGCTTAGGCGGTTTTACACCTGGCGTAGCAGCTGTGTGGACTGGGTGGTGGCAGCCGCATGCGGGATGACGCTAGAATGCGCGCGAACCTGCCGTGCAGATGCAGAGGTGCTGGCCGAGCACCGCCGGTGGACGACACACACACACACACACACACTTACGTTTGTGATTTCCAACCTACTTTAGCCTTGACCACCAGAAATAATTTCGAGCACCGGAAAAACACCGGACATCCCGAGGGTTTTCACGTGCTGGGCCCTCGGAGACATTCGCCCGACACTGTCTCGACATTCTGTCGACATGTTTTCGACACTTTTCCGGGTGCTCGAGATTTGTTCTGGGATGCTGTCCTTAGTCACGATGGGAGCAACACAAATTTACGCTGCATCTTCGGGTGACCTCGCCTGTCCCCCAAATCGGTGTCTTCTCTTATGCCTGACACCGGCCCGATACGGTTTCGACCCAGATTTGGCGGGGAGTCGACGCGGACTCGACGCGGGTTCGACGCGGTTCCGACGAGTCCGACATGCATTCGGCACCGATTCGACGCGGATTGGGCGGAGAGGGGACAGACAAGGTCCCCCGAAGCTGCAACACACATGTTGGCCGAGCTCCGCTGGTGGACGACGCGCGCTCACACGCGCGCGCACAGATGCTCGGATGCAAGTGCTGGGCGGTCAAATTCTGATTCTGCCCTGGTCCGAAATCCGGCTTCATCCGGCTTAATCCGGCCTGATCTCGTGGAGTCTGGCGAAGTCCTGTTTGAAGCCGCGGCCCAAGTTGGCGCAGCAGTCCCCCAATGGGGCTCAATCCTCCCCAGTCCTTCCGACGAAGATCATTACGTCGTTTCTCCGATACCCGTCCCCGTCCCCGTCCCCATCCCCTGCCGAGACCCCCGCAGAATCACTGCCCCAGGTGGGGATGCACCCCTCGAGGCCCGAAGGGAACGGCCTGCATCCCCATCCCGGGGGGGGTGCATCGGCCCGTGGGGCCCCGGCCACGCCGCCCGGAGGGGGGGGGGGCCGGACCACCGGTTCTCGGGAGGCCTCCCGGCAGTGGCCTCCTGGCCGATGTTTTTTGGCGTCGCGGCCACGCGCGCAGCGCCGCGGCGCGGAAAGTGGTCCTCCTCCTCCTCCTCCTCCTCCTCCTCCTCCTCCTCCTCCTCCTCCTCCTCCTCCTCTTCCACATCATCCTCCTCCTCCCCCTCCCCCTCCGCCTCCTCCCCCCCTCTTCCCTTCTCCTCCTCCTCCTCCTCCTCCTCCTCCTCCTCCTCCTCCTCCTCCCGCCGTGAGGGGACAGGCCAGGAACAGGGGGAATGGTGAAGAAGGGGAGGAAGGGAGAGACGAAACACTGCGGCGGTGACAACCAACAAGTGAAGCGAAGAGGGGCGCGGCAACGGCAGCCACACAGACAGACAGAGACAGACAGAGACAGACAGAGACAGACAGAGACAGACAGACAGACAGACAGACAGACAGAGACAGACAGACAGACAGAGACAGGCAGACAGACAGACAGACAGAGACAGACAGACAGACAGACAGAGACAGACAGACAGACAGACAGGTAGACAGACACACAACCACACAGACTGACTGACTGACTGACTGACTGACCGACCGACCGACCGACCGATTGACTGACTGACTGACACACACACACACAACCACCTTTGGCGGAGGTGGCCTCGCGCGCAGCGGGGATGTGGCATAAGCAGATGTACTAACCCGCGGGGTCGCGGCCGGGACCTCCATAACCGTTTTGGATTCCGCAGCACCTGCCGTCCTACAGCACATCCAGGCGTGGGTGGCAGCGAGGTGGCATCCACACAACACACACACACGAACACACACACACACACGAACACACACACACACACACACACACACACACACACACACACACGTACACACATACACACACGAGCACACACCCACACACACACACACACACACACACACACACACGCACGTACGCACGCACGCACGCTCGCTCGCTCGCCCGCCCGCCCGCCCGCCCGCCCACGCACACGCACACGCACACGCACACGCACACGCACACGCACACACGAACACGAACACGAACACGAACACGAACACGAACACGAACACGAACACGAACACGAACACGAACACGAACACACACACACACACACACAAGCACACAAACATGCACACGCATACACGCATGCACGCACGCACGCACCCCCGCTGGGCGCCGCACAGCGCGGTGCGCGGACTCGCTGAGGAGAGCGATGACGAAGGCTGCTCCTGCTCTCTCGCCGTCCGCCCCCCCCATGCGCGGGGGGGCAGGGGAGGCCGCGGCAGCGACGTCGGCGCTTCCGGATCGAAGTATAAGATCGAGGTCGCTTCGGGGAGGGTGCCCTGTAGTGTGCCCTACGTGCTGGTCGGATGTTCCTGTGTGTTCCTGGGGGAGGGCATCCTCCTCGAGTGTGCTCTTCAGTTTGGCCGTCGGGGGGGGGTCATATGCTCAGAGGATGCTGCTCTGATGCGCACGTTTTGAGACGCAACACGTGCCGTGTTCAAAACGCCCGTGTTCAAAACGTACGGGTTCAGTCTACGTGTTGAGCTCCGCATCAATACGCTACGTGTTGTGTGCTGCGTATCGGGGCAGCTAAGACTCTCAGAGGGTGCTGCTCCGTCCCGGGCCTGGGCCGTCCTCTCGTCCGCTGCCCCCGGCCAGGCCCCTCCCGGGGCCCGGGCTTGGCATGCATTCGGTTCGGCGGCGCGCCGCGGGGAGAAGTGCGTGTGGGATGGGTGGGTGCGGCGGGCCTTCTCGGAAGGCGGTGGGGCGTGTCGGAAGCCTTGCTGCCAAGGGGGAAGGAGCCACCCCGACCCCGATCAAACATGGATTCAGGTGGCGTGGATAAGCGACGGGTCCTGTTTCCATGGGGAATCGCGGATTGCCGCCGCTGAGCGAGGCGGCACCGGCCGCATTTCGGGGAGGGCACCTCCCCCGATCCATGGATTAGGCGACCGCGCGCCAAATCCATGGATCGCTGATCCATGTTTGCGCGCCCCCGAATACTGGGCGTTGCTTTAGACGGCCTTGGGCGTTTACCGAGCAGCCCTGTCCCTGTTCGGTTCCTTCCCCGGGTGCCGTGTGCCGAACGGGGCGTCGCTCGCCGGGGTGCAAAGTGTTGGGAGCGGGTCGCCTGCTCGCTGCTCCGACCCTCCGAGGCCGCCCCCCCGGGCGCCCGCAGAAGAGGCTTTTCCGGGTCTTTGCAGGCGGCTAGAGGCCGTCTGAGCATTCCGGAGAGGCCCGCCCCCTCGGCCTTCCCCCCTGCGCGCGCCGCCGAGGCGTAGGCTGAAGTCGGGCCTGTCCCTCTACAGGAGGGACGCTCAAAACTAGTCGAAGAATAGTCGGGGGACTGTGTTTTTGACTCTGTTTGAGCCTTCGGGGAATATTTTGTTCGCATTTTTTCATTTTTCGCCCAAAAAAGCCCCCTGTAGGGGGACAGGCGCGCCGCCCTGGCGTGCCAAGGGAGGCAGTTCGTCGGCCTCTGGACACGGCGTGGACTGTTTTTTGCAGTGGAGGCCCATGCCAAGAAGCACCCTGCTGGCCTCCAGGGTGCCCTGGGCTTCGTGGCCTCGATGGTTTTGCTGCGGAAGGCGTGACGCTCCCACACCAAATGCACTGGCCTCCACCGTGCCCTTGTCCAACAATTGCTTGACCTGGAAGAACTCCCAAAACTGTTTCACCGCAACGGTACAATAATTTGTTCACCGAAATGGCCTGGGCAGGCTGGGGATCCGAAGACGTTCGGAACGGGTTCAAAGACGGCCACGGACCAGTGAAAACATGTGGTTTGGACCAGGCCCCCACCAGGGGAAAGGAAGCTTGTCGCAAAAATGGCGCCGGAAGTCAACCGGGCACACATGGCGTTGGGAACGGTAAAAAGCATGGGGCAAAGAAAGCGGCTGCAGAACAGGGGCCCTACAGGGGGCCTCGAGTGCCCGAAAAGTGCACCTTTCTTCCCCCCCCGGCGATCTCCACCCATTACGCAATTGACGCCCAACGGCTCTGCCGTCGGACGTAACCCGGAAGGGTCTGGAATGCTACCAGGGCTCCTTTCCCCCGAAGTTTTGGGCCGGCAACCACACTCGTCCTTCCCCTCCTCGTCCTTCCCCTCATTGTTCTTCTCCTCCTCCTCCTCCTCATCATCATCATCAACATCATCATCAACAACAACATCAGCATCAACATCATCAGCATCCTCATCATCACCATCAGCATCATCATTGTCATCAGCATCATCATCATCAGCTTCATCATCGTCACCATCAGTGTCATCGTCATCGTCATCGTCATCATCATCATCATCATCATCATCATCATCATCATCATCATCATCATCATCATCATCATCTTCCTCAGCATCATCATCATCATCATCATCATCAGCAGCAGCAGCAGCAGCATCATCATCACCGCAACCATCATCATCAGCAGCATCATCACCATCCTCACCACCACCATCACCATCACCATCACCATCACCATCACCATCATCAACACCAACATCAACATCAACACCAGGGATCCCCATCCAACCCCATCATCAGCGGTAGCCGCCGCGGAGGAAACATTGTTTTCCAAGTATAGTTGGGACATCTAATCCGTCAATAAGCCCGCGCAGAATATGTGATGTTGCCAACCTTGGCGTTTTTTCAAGACCCTCTGAGGTCAGTTAGCAGCTGTCCCCGCCGAGGAGTGTGGGAAGTGGCTGCCGTGGTTGGGGTGTAGGCTTCCGGAGCGGGGTCGGCGAAGGCGTAGCGGTTATTCTCTGCGGAAGCGCATGGCGTTTTTGTTTGCCGGCACGTGTCGGAGGGAGGAGAAGCGACATCAGCACCACTGGCGAGGAGGTCCACGATGCCTCCCCGAGCTGGAGGCTGGGGATGTCTCGAGCGAGAGGGGTGGCCACCCCACCAGGGAGACCCCCCTTGCCTTTCGCATCTCCTCGCCCTGGTGTCGCCTGTCCATGTTCCTAACGTACTGCGCTTGCGATCGCGCGCTTGATGTGAGGTGGGAGCGATTTCTTTCATGATCCGCCACTCTAACTCAAGCATCTCATTTCGCCAATCCCGTTCGTGTCCCATGGTGGACTGTGAGTAGTACCCTCACTCGGTGTCGCAGAAGTACATGATTGGGAAGGGACGAGCACGGTGGAGCCTCGCAGTGCTGCCACGGCATTAGGTCGTTCTTGATGATGCGTCCAGGCGCAAGAACGACGGCAGGCAAGAGGAGGAGGAGGAGGAGGAGGAGGAGGAGGAGGAGGAAGAGGAGGACGAGCGCGCGCGATCGGTGCCGTGATTCGAAGCAGCGATCGGAGCGGGCGAGGGAAGGCGTCACTGCTCAAGCGCGGCGCCGACGACGACCCAGACAGCGACCAGCTGGATTTCAAGGCCCAGCCTCCCCCGCAGCGGCCCCGACCTCCTTCCTCCCCGCCCCTCCGCCCAGTTGGGCGACCAGAAGCTTCGTGCACGGGCCCGGTGGACGAGGAGGCGGCGGAGGAGGAGAGGGGGAGGGTTGGAGGGAGGGGCCAGCTCCAGACCTTCCGTCTGCCTGGATGCAGAACCGCGCGGGGCGCCCAGCGCAGCACTATCATCCCTGGGGACGGCTTTTTGTTCGTGCTCTTCTTGGGCTTATTTTGGAGTGCTTGTTGACTATGTTTTGGTGTTCCCTTCGAAAGCCGCCTGTAGGAGGACATGCCCGACCTGGTGGCAGGGCTTCGGGCTGCGCGCAGGCCGCCGCCCCAGGCAGTTCCAGCTGGGCCTGCCAGGTGGGGCTGGAGCAGGTGGGGTCGGAGCAGCGCGCCGCATCGCCGAGGCATCGGCGCGGCACCTCGATGTGGAGCCCGGTTTGCTCCATGCCGACTTCGCCGGTGCATCGCCGATGCTTCGCCGACGTATCAGCGATGCCGCGCGATCCTCCGACCCCATCTACTCGGACCCCACCTAGGAAGTCTCTATCAGCCGCCGCCTCCTGCTCCTTGAGTCCCTCTAGTGAGGCTTTGGTTGGATTAGGCCACATGGGGATGTCCATACCGCTGATCGTGCATAGGTCGAATTCTCATTGGACTATTGAAGTCCGCATTCCGTGCGTGGTGTCGCGGATAGGCTGGTACACCCAGTCAGGCCTGCGAGGTTTCATTGTCCTGCCTGAGGTCTGTCTACACTCCCTGTAGGATCATCGTGTGCCCCCCCCCCCAAAAAAAAAAAAACCAACGGCCCCTCCGGGTGATCCCAGCTGGCCTCCACGGGCCCCCGAGTGGGCCCAGCCGGTCTCGGCAGGCCTCCCGAGCAGTCCCGCGGCGGCCTCGGCACCCTTTCGGGGGTGGACAGAACCCCCAACAGTGACACGTCGATTAGTGAATTGTCCGTTTTCGGTTCTCGAGAGGGCGCCGTGGCTGTGATTTTCCAGGCTTGCGCCCGCCAGGTTTGGGCCTCAGGTCGTTTTCACTAAACCACGTTTTACTAAAGGGAGGTCTGTCCATCCCCGACCCTTGCGCGCCGCCTGCGGCGGCGCTCTGGAGGCGCCGGGCGCGCCCCCGGGGTGGAGGTGTGGGGCCTGGCCCGGGGCTGCAGGGGAGATCCATGCCAAGGAGTACCCTGCTTGGTTTCTTGGGCAGGGGATCGAAACATGGCACAAACTAAAAACACGGAGGTCCGCGCGGATTTCTCGGATCCGCGCTGGGACCCCCTTGGCGGCGCCTCCGGCGCCGCGCCAGTGAGGGGGGTCCAGCTCGGATCCCAGAAATCCGCGCGGACCTCCGAGTTTTTCCCTACCTAGGCTCTGCCTAGAGGGTTCTTACTCTCTTTCTTAAAGGGGCCGGGCAGTGGAAATCGCCCCGGGCGGTTCCCCCAGTATCCGCCCCTCGGGTCCCCCAGTTACGTCCCTTTAGCTTAGCGTTGCTTATCTCAGCTTAGCTTATGTCATCTTAGCTTAGCTTAGCTTCATCTTAGCTCAGGTTTATCTTAGCTTAGCTTACCTTCATCTTAGCTTCGCTGAGCTTTAGCATAGCAGAGCACAGCATATCATAGCATTGCGTAGCATAGCATAGCGCAGCACAACATATCATAGCATAGCCCAGCATAGCATAGCATAGCGCAGCATAGCATAGCATACCATAGCATAGCATAGCGCAGCACAGCACAGCACAGCATAGCACATCGCAGCATAGCATAGCATAGCACATCATGTCATAGCACAGCATAGCATAGCGCAGCATAACATAGCATATCATAGCATAGCATAGCATAGTATAGCGCAGCATAGCATGGCATGGCATAGCATATCATAGCATAGCATAGCAACCAATGCTGCTTTCCTAGGGGCTCCAACTTCTATGTAGGGTCGCACTGGGGTAGTTATGCTTATGTCATTCTTCGTTCCCCTATTGGGCTTCGATGGTTTTGCTGTGGAAGGGGCGACGTTCCCTTACCAAGAACCAATGGACGTCCTGGGGTCTCAGGGTTGGGTTGCTTGTGGACGGTTTCTTGTGTACTGGCCTCCACTGTACTCGGGGGGCCTGCTGATGTCAGCCAGGACTGGTCGGGGGGCCCTCGGAGGCCAGCCGAGCTTGCCTGGGGGGGGCTGTCTGTTCGGGACTGGAGGCCTCACCAAGTCTCTGTCACAGGGCAGCAGCCATGCATGATCCCAGGTCAACGGTTCACAGACCCCCCCCTTCTCAGGTGGGATGGATCCCAGGGTCCAGCCCCCCCCCAAAAGTGGGGGGGACGACGACGACGACGACGACGACGACGACGACGACGACGACGACGACGACGACGACGACGACGACGACGACGACGACGACGACGGCGACGGCGGCGGCGGCGGCGGCGGCGGCGGCGGCGGCGACGACGACGACGACGACGACGACGACGACGACGTCAGGGGCCCGATAGCCCACCTCCTGGAGCGCGCGGTTTCGCTATCGGAGTCCTGTCGCCGATCTGTCTTGGGGAGTCGGTCTCCGGGGATCCTGGCGGGCGATGGGTATATAGTCGGGCCTGGGCGGGGGGGGGGAATTTACACATCCACCGACAACTGGGCCCCCGAGACTCGATCTTCAGGCGGTGATCATGGATACATCCCTGGCTTCTGCCTTCTGCGTGTCCCGAACGCGCCCCCGGCCGATCGGGAGACCGGCCCTGGCCGCGCTGGACGGGCGGTCTCGCCCTCGGGCAGTGCCGAGGGGCCGAGGGGGTCGCCATCAGGGGGGGGGCACCCGCTGCTCCTGGCAGTCGAGGTCACAGGATCGAAGCTCGAGCAGGTGTTTGGACGTCTGGGGTCGTTTTGGAAGGCTCTGGACTCTGGAGTGCTCCTGGGGAGCCCGCTCCCTCGAGGAGGCGGCAATTCCTGGAGGAAGTGGCGACGCCCCCCCCCCCCCCGGAGTGGCCGCGGCGCCGGGCGGAGGCCTACAAGGTGGCGACGTCGCAGCTGAACTCCAGCGAGTTCATGAAGCGCCGACCTCGGGCGTCTGGGGGCCAGGATGAGATCTGCTCCTGAGGGGTGGCTCCTCCTCTCCTCCTCCTCCTCCACCCACCTCCTCCTCGCTCCTCGCTCCTCTCTGCTCGCTCTCTCTCCTCGCTCCTCTCTCCTCCCTCGACGCTCTGCCTCCCTCGCTCCCTGTCCGCGGGTGCGGCGGGGTTGGAGCTGGCCGGGGGGCCGAAGGTGGCCCACCACCCCGTGCTGGACCAGCAGGGGAGGGAGGGCTCACTGCGTCGCCACGGCAGGGCGCGGCTTCTCCTCCTCTCGTCACACCTCTCCTCCTCCTCCTCCTCCCTCTCCTCCTCCTCCTCCTCCTCTTCTCTGCTCCTCGCTCCTCCTCGCTTCTCCCCCTCCTCTCCTCCCTCCTCCTCCTCTCCTCCTCCTCTCCTCCTCCTTCCTCCTCTCCTCCTCCTCCTCCTCCTCCTCCTCCGCCTCCATCTCCTCCTCCTCCTCTCCTCCTCCTCCTCCTCCTCCTCCTCCTCCTCCTCCTCCTCCTCATCCTCATCCTCATCCTTATCCTCGTCTCCTCCTCCTCTCCTCTCCTCCTTCTCCTCTCCTCCTTCTCCTCGCTCCACCTCCGTTTTCCGCTTCCTCCTCTCCTCCTCCTCCTCCTCCTCCTTCGCCTCCTCCTCCTCCTCCTCCTCCCTTTCCTCCGTGAGCTGTCCGACCTCACGAGGGGTCTGGGAACCGATGTAGTGAGCGGATTTTCCTTCATCCCCCCATTCGAGCATGGGATCGACTACAATATTGACTTACCCCAGAATGAATTGTCTTGTCGAGTGTGCGACTACAACGTAGAATGCCCGTCGACCATTCCACTCGTAGACTTGACGAGAGAATCAATTAGGGTGTCAATCAATACTGTAGTCGATTCCCTGTTCGAGCCTTCTTGAAACATTCTGTCTGAGCTGCCCAGCTCAGACCCCCTGGCCGCCTCCAAGCCAGGAGAAGGTCTGGTCGAGGGGCACGGCTCCTGTGCAGCGGGATATGAGGGGGCGATGCGGCGTTCTCCGCCGTCGGCGATCGAGGTTCAAAGCTTCGGGACCGTCATTCTCTCTAGATGTGGGCGGTGTGTGGCTCTGGGTGGCTCTGGGGGCCAGGAGGAGGAGGAGGAGGAGGAGGAGGAGGAGGAGGAGGAGGAGGAGGATGTGCGCTGTTTCGCAGGCGGGGGCAGACACGGCGCGCAGACGAAATGGCACGCCTTTTTTTGTCGACCGGCCAGTGTGGCCGATCGGGAGGCCGGGGATTGAGGGAGGGCGGAGCGCATCCGCTCCGCAGGTCCTCCGGCGCAGTGCCAATGGCATGTGTGGACTGTCTGTAGTTGCGCGGCATGGTTTGCATTGGCCCATCGGTCAGGCATCCCACCACTCAGGATGGGAGAAAACACGCAGGCACAAATGAGCGTCGATGCCCAGGAGAAGATGGGAAGATATGGGAAGTGGGGGGAAGACGAACGTCCCGACAAAAAATACTAATATGAGGATTATTGGGATTTGTGTGGGAGTTACATCAGAGGCAAGACGGCACCACGACACCTCTCACGACACCAGACGTCCGCCTCCCTCCGCAGCAGCATCAGCACCGTTGTCAAGCCGACCACCCTAGCGACCTTGGGGAGCTCGCGCGCACGCCGCGCACGTCAGGAGAGCACGAACAGCGAGTCCAGAAACGATACCCAGACGAGTTTCCTTCATTAAGGAAGCGCAGGAGTAAACGGTGGAGCAAATATGAGGGCAAGCCGTCAAACCGAAGCTCGGGATCAGCCTGAGCAGACCCGGGAGTCAACCATGGGTGCGTTCGCGGATCTTTCGATCAGGGAGCCGTTTGACAGCTTACTTGGGGTCATTTTGGAACCATTGGGGTCGTTTGACAGCTTACTTGGGGGAAGCCTTTGTGGCTCGCTTGGGTCCTCTTGGGGCTCTCCTTTTGGGGTCAGTTGGAGGCCATCGATCCCCAAACAAGTTATTTGGTAGCGTCCCCCCGTCGGAGGCCTCAAAATCACCCTTTGGGGCCCTCTTCGGGAGCTCTTGGGCGTTGTTGGAGCCGTTTTGGAGCCCTCGTGGGTCCATCCTGGGGCTCTCTCGGGCCATCTTGGAGCCGTCTTGCGGCCTCAGAAGGCCAGTGGAAGCGAAAAGGCGAGAAGGCAAGACAGACACTGATTCCTCATAAGTTTGGGACGGTTTCGGGGCCTCTCGGGGGCACCCTCGGGAGGCCCCGCGGCCACTTGGAGCAGTGTTCGGGCGGTATTGGGGAGTCTTGCAGGGACCACGCCGGGCCATCCTCTTCTGCCATCGTGGAGAGGACAGCTTCGGCCGTCTGGGGCCCTCTGGGGGTCCTCCTGGGAGCTTCGGCTGTCTGGGGCCCTCTGGGGGTCCCCTCCGGCGCTCTCACGGCCCGTGGTCTCCCCCCCCCCCGCCCAGGCCCAGGGGAGGGCCGCAGGGGGGGCGGGCGCAGACCCGTCCCCAGGGGAAGAGGAGGGGGCCTGAGCAGCGCACTCGCTGAGGAGGACGAGGAAGAGGAGGAGGAGGAGGAGGAGGAGGAGGAGGAGGAGGAGGAGGAGGAGGCGGAGGAGGAGGTGGAGGGTGGGATGAGGATGAGGAGGAGGAGGAGGAGGAGGAGGAGGAGGAGGAGGAGGAGGAGGAGGTGGAGGGGTGGGATGAGGAGGAGGAGGAGGAGGAGGAGGAGGAGGAGGAGGAGGAGGAGGGAGGAGGAGGAGAAGAGAGAAAGAAGAGGAGGAGGAGGAGGAGGAGGAGGAGGAGGAGGAGGAGGAGGAGGGAGGAGGAGGAGGGTGGAGGGTGGGAGGACGAGGAGGAGGAGGACGAGGAGGAGGAGGAGGAGGAGGAGAGGAGGAGAAAGGAGGAGGAGGGGAGGAGGAGGAGGAGGAGGAGGAGGACGAGGAGGGAGCCACCTGCGCCGCACATCGCCAGCGACGGTTTCTCCCCCCCCCCCGCCCCATCCAGACCACGGGGAGGGCGCAGGCGGAGGCGCAGGCCCTGCCTCGCAGGCCTGGAGGTTGGCACCAGCACCAAGATCGGCGGCGTGCCTCCCTCGAGGGAAGACTGCTCCGATCGCAACGACGGTGGTGGTCCTCTGACTCCCGAGGTGGCCGAAGTGTCAGCACCAGCACCACAGTCTGGGATCCTCTTCCCCCTGTGGAGGCGACCCCCTGTGCTGGTGTTGGTGCCCCTTTCTTCCAGGCCTCCAGCTTCCCCAGGGGAAAAGGAGGGGGCTGGAACAGCGCGCTCGCTGAACCACCTGCGCCGTACATCGCTGGCGATGTTGTCCCCCCCCCCCAGCCCCTTCTCGACTGGAAATGAAGCCGCTCAGAAGAGGGGGAACCCTGAGACACACCCCAAATGGGCTACTCGGACGACGCGCCTCTGTCGAGGATGGACGCCCCCCCCTCGTAGATCCCAGGGTCGGCCCCAACTTTTTGGGGCCCACTCGAAAAGCCCTCAAAGTCTGGGATAGGGGTCGACATATCTCCTGTCAGGAAAGGGCTGGCGGGATCCCCTAAGCTGCACAGTCAGGGCGCTGAAGAAGGAACCCTTTTTCGTTTTGGAGGGGCTCAGTGTTCCTTAGTTTGTTCACAGTTTGCCTCAGGTGTTCTTTAGGTCTTCGATGGGAAATCCAAGTTTAACTCATGGGACAAGGGACCTCGTTCCCTATTTAGGCTTCATTAGATCAACGCCCCGACTGTACCCCCTGTTGAGGAAAGATCGGCGGCGAGCGAGGGGGGCAGTGAGAAAGAGAAGGCCTTCTCGAGAGTCGGCGGGCCTTCTCAGAAGCCCTCGCGCCTTCTCAGAAGCTCCTCCTGTCTTCGAGGAAGGGGCTCCGAAGACTTCGCAGACGGCCGGGGGACGTCCGAGCCTTCTGAGGAGGCCTTCTCCTTCTCACCTTCCCCCCCTCGCTCGCCGAACCGAAAAGAGCTGGTGGAATCCCCACAGCTCAGGCGATCGCAAACATGGATCAAGGGGGCGTGGATTAGCTACGGGTCCCGCTTCCATGGGAAGTCTCGGATTTCCGCCGCCGAGCGAGGCGGCACCGGCCGCGTTTGGGGGAGGGCACCTCCCCCGATCCATGGATTTGCCGACCGCGCCCCAACTCCATGGATCGCTAATCCATGTCTGCGCGCTCCCGATTTTTGGCCCTGACTGCCAGAGAGAGGTTCGAGCACCAGGTAAGCACCGAAATCGGACTTGGAGGGTCTCACGTGTCGGGGCCCCGGGAGGCGATAGTCGCTCGGCACTGTCGCGATCTCTTCCTATAGGCGCTCGAGATCATCGCACTGTCGCGGCATCCGAGCCACGCGCCCCCGAGCAGCTGCAGCTTCGGGCCTCCCCGGCGGCGCCCGCTCCGTGCCCGGAGGCGGGGCTCCCCGGCGGCGCGCGGGCGCGGCCTGCAGAGGCGCATCCTGGCCTCCGCGCCTCGCGCGCCGTGGCGGAGGAGGAGGGAGGGAGGAGGAGGGAGCAGAGGGAGGAGGAGGAGGGAGGAGGAGGGAGGAGGAGGGCGGAGGAGATGGAGGGAGGAGGATGGAGGAGGAGAAGGAGGAGGGAGAAGGGAGGAGGGAGGAGGAAGGAGGAGGAGCAGGAGAAGGAGCAGGAGCGGCAGCGGGAGGGAAGGAAGGGAAGGAGGGGAGGAAGGAAGGAAGGAAGGACAGGAGGAGGAGGAGGAGGAGGGTCAGGAGGAGAGGAGGAGGAGGAGGAGGAGGATTCGGAGGAGGAGGCGGAGGAGGAGGAGGAGGAGGAGGAGGAAGGAAGACGAGAGGAGGAGGAGGAGGAGGAGGGGGAGGAGTCAGGAGGAGGATGAGGAGGAGGAGGAGGAAGAGGAAGAGGAAGAGGAAGAGGAGGAGGAGGAGGGAGGGAGGAGGGAGGGAGGGAGGGAGGGAGGGGAGGGAGGGAGGGAGGGAGGGAGGGAGGGAGGGAGGAGGGAGGGGGGAGGAGGAGGAGGAGGGGAGGAGGAGGAGGAGGGAGAGGAGGAGGAGGAGGAGGAGGAGGAGGAGGAGGAGGAGGAGGAGAAAGAGGGAGGAGGAGGAGGAGGAGGGGGAGGAGTTAGGAGGAGGTGAGGAGGAGGAGGAGGCAGAGGAAGAGGAAGGAAGAGGAGGAGGAGAGGGAGGGAGGGAGGGAGGGAGGGAGGGAGGGAGGGAGGGAGGGAGGGAGGGAGGGAGGGAGGAGGAGGAGGAGGAGGAGGAGGAGGAGGAGGAGGAGGAGGCGGGAGTGGGGCGGGCTCAGGGGGACACGCCCGCGGCCGAGGCCCGAGCCGCTCGACGAGTCGGTCAACGAGTGGATGCTCTGGCGGGCGGGGGGGGGGGGGCGGGAGCAGGCGCCCGGGGGGCGCGCGCGATCATCGGAGAAGAAGAACCAACGTGAACGTAAACTTTTGGCGCGCCGCGCGGGTTTCTCGGATCCGCGCTGGGCGCCCCTCGGCGGCGCCTCGGAGGCGCCGCCCCTGGCGCGCTCCGCGCGCCAGGGAGGGGGGTGCAGTGCAGATCCAAGGAATCCGCGCGGAGCGCCAAAGGGTCATGTTTGTGGCGTTTTCTCTTCTTCTGAGAGCGAGAGGTCCTGAGAGTCACCGCCCACCAGACCACCCCAACCCAACGCGAGGGCCCCAATCTGCCTTCCACTCCCAGGCGGGGGGGGGGGCGGGGGACATCGACAGAGCACACATGAGGCCCGCCCCCCCCCCCCCAAACCCGAAATTTTGGCCTTTGGGTTAGGCTGGGGTAGTGTCATAGTTTGATAGTCAGATAATGATGCGTTCCAGGGTTTCGAAGATTCCCAGGATTTTCCACATGCCCTGATGCTCCACACGGGATGCAGAAACGGGGGCCGCTAGATACCTTGGAAATCCTGGAACGCATCCTGAGCCGATCCTACCATGACGTCATTCCCGTCCAACACGAGGTCGTCTGCGCACTCGCCGGCCGTCAAGAAGCGCGTCGCTCGACGAGTGGTGGCTCTAGCAGGCAGGTTGCGGCCGCAGTCGGGGGGCTCACGAGGTCATCTGCGCACTCGCTGGCCGTCAAGAAGCGCGTCGGTCGACGAGTGGTGGTTCTGGCGGGCAGGTTGGGGCGGCGGCCGGGAGGCCCACGAAGTCTGCGCATTCGCGGGTCGTCGAGGAGAGAGCGGGTCACCGAGTGGTGGATCTGGCGGGCAGGTGGGGGCGGCGTCGCCAGTCGTCGAGAAGCCCCATTCCGCCCCCTCGTTGACCCGTGAGCCTTCCTGGCATGTTCGAGCCCTCCTCTCGATTCTTGATCGATCTGGATCCTCGGACGTCCGCGACAGCTCCCCCCAGCCCTGCCGGGTCCTCGAGGCCCCCTCGCCCGCTCCCTCGAGCCCGATGTCTCGTCGGCTCGGGGGCCCCGGCGCCGATGCCAGACGGGCTCCATGGGAGCCTGCGGCGGGGCTTAAGGGGGGCTTCGCACGGGTGCCGTCAGAGCAGCCTGCGCGAGTCGAGGGAGCGTACATCGGGCCGGGCGAGAGGGGGGGGCTGGGAAAGGGGGGGGTACGAAATCTGTCTGCTGCATGCAGCAGGTTTCGGCCCCGCTGGTGGGCCCAGTCCTCGATACATGGGCGCCTCCCGGCGCCGGGAGGCGCCGGGAAAAGTAGCTACGTGAGTTGATTCTCAACCCCCCCCTTTGCTGTCCCCTCCTTTCGCCCGGCCCGAGTAAACATTCAGAGGAGCAAAAGGTACCCGTAGCGCTACCCTTGCCTCGCGTTCCCTCTGGGAGGCCCTCGTCGCCACCGCTGGACTCGCCTCGAAGTCCTAGTCAGAACGCACCCCGGGAGAGGTCCGGGGAATAGCAGGATCGGTACCGTTTCCCCAAATCACGGAATCGGCGCGCTGCGTCGCTCACGAGGGGAAAAAACAAGGAAATATGGAAAGCGGGGGGGAAGTCGAAAACCCAGAAAAGATGGGGAAATATGGGGTATCCTGGGAGTTGTGTCTATTTATCTGTGTCCCTGGGCCCCTGAAGTCACCAAATGAGGCGGCATTGGCTTCATGTTTCGCCCCGATCCATGGATATGGCGCCCCCCTTCGCCAGATCCACGCGTCCAGTAATCCACGTTGGCGTGCGCCCGAGGGAAGGCGCTCATTTTCAAGTCCGCTGACCCTCAGGAGGGAAAACAACACACAGACACAATTAATCGTCGATTCCCAATGCGCAAATCTGGGAAGTGGTGGGGGGAAGACGAAAATCTAAACCATATGAAAACATATGGAGGGTCCTGGGATGTGTGTGTATGTATTTGTGTGTCCCTGGGCCCCTTCAGACCCCGTCAGCAGAGTGTCCTGTGAGAGGGGTCGTTGGCCCGTCCGCGCCAGGGCGCTGAGCTCCGCAAAGACCAACCCCGCAGACGACGGGATGCACAGACGCAAGGGCGTCAAGCAGGGCTGGACCCAAACGCTGTGTTGCTGGACTTCGGCTGTGTTCTCTTGTTCGCTCTGGCAGGGAGGGTACATGAAAACAGGTAGAGCAAAACGAACAACAAAACGAGAAAGCAGCCTTCAGGTCCGGCCCTGGCATCGAACTCCAGGAGGAGCGGCAGCCGGGGGCTCGCCGTGAGATGTCTGCGATCCTGCGGGTTGGCCAGGGGGCCGCCCGTCCGTCCGCGTTTTGGCGCAGGCACGGATCTCCGACGGCACAATTTTCGGCGGCGAGCGGGGGGGGGGCAAGCGAGAAGGCGAAGGCCTTCTCAGGAGCCCGAAGGCCATCGAACAAAAAAGAAACGTATCAGAAGGCGCGAGGGCTTCTGTGAAGCCCCGCTGGCCTTCTGCGAGGGCCTTCTCCTCCTCACTTCCCCCCCTCGCTCGCCGCCGAAGCAAGCGCACCACTCGGGCCGGCCGGCGGGCAGCCTCCTCTGTTCGGATCACCGCTGGCGCTGCTAAGCTTACGTCGGGCCTGTCCCTCCCTCTATATAGAAGGAGTGTTCAAAAATAGTCAAAGCATAGTCTGGGGACGATCTTTTGAGTATGTGTTGTATTTCTTGCATTTGTTTTGCGTACTTTTGACTTTTCGTCCAAAACCCGCCTGTAAGTAAGGGGACATGCCCGACATGACGCTGTAAGGGAGCTCTGGGTGCATGCCAGGGTGGTATATATGTGGCTTACCCTAGTTACCAAGTGGGTTACAAAGGCCCGAAGTGGCATCGAAGTATTGGGTAACTCTGCCAGGTCTGACCCCAGGGCCGCCAAAAACAGAATCTGGGGGGAAGGGCCCTGGGAGGGGTCCGGGTACCGATGTTGAGCGGATTTGCCTTCACCCCACCTGCTTGACTGATTTGGTCGGGGCCCATGCAGTTCGGACCCCCAGTGGCCTCCAACCTGGCCTGCGAGGCATCGAGAGGTTGACGTCTCTTCCCTGGCGGACGGCCAGCAGAAGCTGGCGGAAGCAAAAGGAGGGCCGCTCCGCCAGCGGAAGCTGACGGAGGCTCGGCGGAAGGTGGAAGGCGGCGGAAGCAAGAGATGCCCCCCCAAAGAGATGTCAATGTTCGTTTGATCAAGGTTTCTGGAGTTTGTGAGTGTGTATATATATATGTATATGTATATATATATGTGTGTGTGTATACAGATTACACATATGTACACATATATATATATATATGTGTATATATATATATATATTCATTCATTTGAGATAGACACGTACACATCAAGAACATGCGCCAAGAATTGGCATAAAGGGCTCGCACTGCTGGCCTGGATCTTGATATCTACTCTTGTCGCCTTCTCTGGGGCCGCTCACGGCGGGATGCTCTTTCTCGCACCGCGCTCGCCCCGAGCGCCTTTCCACCTGGTGGGCGCCGTCGAGGCGCACCGCCCCCCCCCCGGGTGCACCTCCGCGGAAGGCCGAGGTCCGTCCGCTATCCCGTTCTCTACGGTGGGGGCGCTTGTTACCGGACGAGGGCCCGCCCGCCCGCACGCACGCACGCACGCCCGCCCGCACGCACGCACGCACGCCCGAGGCTGCTGACCCTGGAGGGTTCCTTGCCTGACGAGGGCGGCGGTGATATCCATGGCCAAGCCTCCTCTGGAACCTGCAGGCTTCAGGCCCTGGGTTCCTTGTCCGAGGGTTTCTTATGCAATGCCCTCACCGTATGGCGTCAGCAGGGCGGACTGCATATGCTTCGTGCGTCGGTGCGCGCTGCTGACGGTTGCTCTCGGTCGACGATTTTTTCGCCGTGCTGTGTCCGCGGATCGGCAGGTTCGGCTGTTCCGCAGTCGGCTGCGTTCAGTCGCTTCGGTTCGGTCGGTTGCCGTGCCGCTGCCGCGCCGCTGCGCCCTTCTGGGCTGCCCGCGGCCCCTCGGTTTCGGTTCCGGTTGCGGTTCCGCCGTCGGATCCGCCGGTCTTCGGTTTTGTTGCCGTCGTGGACGGCTGCAACTCGCGCTCGCCGTGGCCCGCTCGGCAGCGCGGGCGCCAGCGGAGTCCTTCCTCGCCGAGGGTTCCCAGACAGTCACCTGGCCGGCTGGGCTCGGCGTCACACAGACATGCGACTATGATGGCTGCATCGCCCCCCCCCCCCCCCGAGGCGTCGCGCGCGTCTGAGCGCTCCGCGGCGGGCGCTTCCTGGCCACACTGCTCGGAGAACGATACACTGCAAGATGCCCGTGCTATATCTGATCTGGTCGGGCGCACGCCTCCGAAAAAGATTCATAGTACTAGTGTGTCCTCGTGCGTCCCGTGGACTTTGGGGTCGGCCTGCTTCGGTTTGTCGGCCCGGTGCTCGGCTCGGCCCATGAAACCTGAAAGGTTTCACAACGTCACACCACCTGGATCCTCGGCCCGCTATCTTCTGCTTCCTTCGCCCGTGGCCTCATTGAGACAGGCCGCCCGATCCGCGAGGGCTAAGGCAGCGTGAGGGGATAAGCCCCGATCTCACCCACCCGCCACAGCCTGACTGGGGTCACTTCCCCTCCGAGCGTTTGATAGGGGTTCTCCTTACTCCGTTCCAGTTCGCACGCATGCAGCTTAGTTGTCGCCCAGCCTTATGCTGGGACTTTATCTCATTGGTTACGGTTGCTCCTGCAAGACCCACCTACAGAAGTCCCCAAAGGCTTTGGAGGTTTCCGCATATCTCACGAGATTTCCGAGGTCTTGGAGGTCTCTGGAGGCCCCCGAAGGCATTCGAAGGCCCAACATGTTTACAGGCGTGCATATATGTACATATATATATATATATACATAGATTTACACTAGATATGTGTGTATGTTCATATGGATCGGTATAAATGTACGAAGATATAGATGATGTCAGACACCTCCAAGAACCTGGATCCTCATCCTACTTCCTCCCTCCTCATCGATTTTCGCTTCTCTCCCTCCCCCTTTCCCGAGAGATGGGGCTGGCAGGCACGGCACAACCATCGAAGGCGCCCGGGGGATCTGCGAGGTGGACTTCAAGCAGAAGTACGCCGGGACACAGACAGGCACCGGCCCCTCCCGAGCTGCACAGTGGAGGCCCATGCCAAGAGACTCCCTGCTTGCCTCCAGGGTGCCCTGGGTTTCTTGGGTTTCGACGGCTTTGCTGTGGAGGGTGCGCCGTTCCCACACCGAACCGGCAGTGCACGTCCTGGGGTCTCAGGGGTTGGGCTTCTTGTGGAAGGTTCCTTGTGGCCGTGCCCCTGCTATACCTTGCTGGCCGCCCCAGCGCCGCGGGAGGAGTGGGGCTCGAGGCCGCCGGGGCTCGGGTCTGCTGCCGCCTCTGGACGGTCCCGGTGTGAGGCTGTGACGGTCCCCGGCTTCTCGGGGGCCCCCAAACGGGGTGGTGACCACACCGTGTGGTGAGTCGGTGGGGATTCGGGGTCACCGCACGGTTTTGGGACTCGGGTCGCTCTCCGAGGGCGTCTCGGGCGACTGGGGCCTCCGAGGTCCCAAGACCATGCGGTGGCGGACCGTGCGGTGAGATCTTGGGGGATTTGGAGGTCACCGCACGGTCTGTCACCGCACCGTTTCGGGACTCCAACGTTTCCTGCAGACTTCTGCAGCAGACGAGGGGACGAAGCAGCCGCCGCCGAGGAGCCGGCGCGCGTCCCTGCAAGTGAGGCTTGCACGCTGGTCGCGCGCAAGCCTTCCTCCTACGAAGACTGCTCGATGTGGGATCGGGCCAAGAAGCAGCGAAACATGACTGCAGCAAACGAAGTCGCGCCAAATATCAGGCTGGGTCTCACCTTCTGACGCCCTGTCGGGCAAGTTCGAGAGCCTCAAACTCGAGTTGCATGTCTCCCCGATGAAATGACCTCCAGTTGCACGGAACCGAGCTGTGACAATAATCATCGGTTTGGGCCCCGAGGCCGAGGAGGGACGGCGAGGTCAGCAGGAACCCCAGGGTGGATAGGCTCTGGGAGGCACGCTGGGTGCCCCCCCCCCTCCTCCCCTCCCCCCCCCTCGGAGCCAGAGCCAGAGTCCCCCCTTCCGTTCTCCCCTCGCGGGGAGGAGCGGCAAGGGGGGGAAGGAGCGGCCGCAGGAGGGAGGCACAGGGTGGCGAGGAGGTGGGTGCGCTCGGCGCCAGACCTGGCATCCTGTGCTCAGGTCCTGCTATGGGAGGAGGAGGAGGAGGACGAGGAGGAGGAGGAGGAAGAGGAGGAGGAGGAGGAGGAAGAGGAGGAGGAGGAGGAGGAGAAGGAGGGCGGAGGAGGAGGAGGAATAATAATAACAAGGATAATATTAAGAATAATAATAATAATAATAAGAATAAGAAGAAGAAGGAGGATAACGAAGAAGGAGGAGGAGGAATACTAATCATAGTATTAAGAAGAAGAGCAATCATAAACATAATAAGCATAGTCATACCAGGACGAATATTCAGACAACACTGAAAACGAAGACGACGAATACGAATAACAAACAGCACGAGCATGAAGGATAACTAATACTGAGCAGATGAGTGCGAGTAATAAACATACGAATGCGACTACGATTAACACTTCTAAGAAGTCGGGTATGAATAAGAAGAGTAATAATAAGTACACGAATCATAAAACATATGAGTAGTCCGAATATTACTAAGACTACGAAGAGGAGGAGGAGAAAGAGGAGGAGACGTCAGGCCGCTCGCTCGCTCGCTCACCCCATCGCCTCAGCAACCACCGCGAGGCCTCCGAGGAGGTCCCCATTGCCTCCAGAGCACCCCTCACGAGGCCAAGAGGGCCCCGTGGGGCTCCACAGTTGAGCGGAAAGTTGGGGGGCACCTTGGGCCAGAGGCACGTTCCACAACCCCCGAGATTCCCCTTCCAGCCCAAGCCTCTCTCTTGTCTGTCTCTCTTGTCTGTCCTTCCAGCCCAACAGTTGTTTGTCTGTCCGCCAGCGGAGGTGGTCTTGGAGAATTGCAAGAGTGGCCAAATCGTCCGATGCACACTCAGAAAAGACGGGCGATGTGCATCGGGACCAGAGGAGGAGGAGGAGGAGGAGGAGGAGGAGGAGGAGGAGGAGGAGGAGGAGGGGGAGGAGGAGGAGGAGGAGGAGGAGGAGGAGGAGGAGGAGGAGGAGAGGAGGGAGGGGAGAGCAGGAGGAGGAGGAGGAGGAGGCGGTGGCGTCTCCGCGCGGGCGAACGAGCAGGAGGAATCATTGGAAGGAGGAGGAGGCGGAGGAGGAGGAACAGCAGCAGCAGCCGCAGCAGCAGGATGAGCAGGGGAAGACGGAATAGGCAGGAAGAAAGACAGGGCGGAGCAGAGGGAGGAGGAGGAGGATGGAGGATGTAGGAAGGAGGATGTTTGGATTGCGACGCTGGTGAAGCCAGTAGCCTGTCAGCCAGTTGCGACGCTGAAGCAAGCGAAACTCGTGCCGGCCTTGTCTCACGACTTTTACTGGCACTGCGTGTGGCTCAGTTGCTTGGGTCAGGGGCGCTCGCCCGCAAGCATTTGAGTTTTAAACTGTGTCGGGACGTCACTCCGATTCCTCCACGTCGCACCCCGAGGTCGAAAAACAAAAAAAAAATGAAACACAAAACAGTTCTGCGCGGGCACCAAGGAAGCAAACACAGTGGACACAAGCACGGGGCCAACGACAAGTACACAGCAAGGCAGCAAGGCAGCAGCAAGGGCGGTCCTGGTGCGACGATGGCGAGGCATCTTTGTGCGAGTCAAAAAGGGGGTACCACGCTCGTGAGACGCACGGCCATGACGGGGGCAGAGTTATCTTCGGCACCCGAAGCAGCACGCAGACGAGACGGCGGCGGAACAAGCCCAAGCTTCACACGAAGACGCCGCGGAGAGGGATGCACTAGACAGCCTCTCTGCCCATGTCTCACTGCCACGACGACAGACAAAAAAGGAGGCAGTGCAACTGACACCCCGCGGGCCGAGTCACGGCGAGCGCCCTGCTCGAGGGAACCTGCCTGGCGGGAGCGGGCATGTGCCCCAGGGGGTCTCGCACCGGTGCTGCGCGCCGGGTGCACCACGAACCCCCGCTGGGCTCGCGTGGGCCCCCGAGGCCTGCCCGACGCCGCTGCCCGAAGCCAGGCCGAGAAGGGGCGGGCGAGCCTCTATGGCCGGCAGCCGCCGAGGAGGACCAGCGGCGGCACGGCCCGGCGGAGCGCGTGAGCGGGGCGGCAGGCGAGCGGGTCGGGCCGAGAGCGGCAGCACGAGGGCAGCGTCCCGAGCCTGCCTGATGTGCCTGTTTCCACCACCACCACCAGAAGTTGGAGAGGGGGGAAGGGGGTGGAGGTCGAGGAGGAGGAGGAGGACGAGGAGGAGGAAGAGGAGAAGGAGGAGGACCCCCTCCCCCTCCAACTCATAGTGGTGGTGGTGGACAGCAGGCGCATCACTACCGACTCCCACTGCCCATCCCGCACCCGATTGTGAGTCGCAGTGCTCTGCGACGGCCCAGGATTGAAGAAGAAACAGCCACATAGACAAACTCTTGGCGCTCCTCGTGGATTTCTTGGATCCGCGCCTGGGCCCCCCCGCCGGCGGCGCCTCCAGCGCGCGAATCCAAGAAATCCGCGCGGAGCGCCAAAAGTTTATGTTTATGTGTTTTGTTCTTCTTCTGCAGGGGTCACCTGGGTCGAATGCGGCATCTCCATGGCGGGCGTGCACGCGTGGCCTGTTGCGCCATCGCACAGGCTCACGGCTCACCAAATCTCGCGCTCGATTGAGACTTGTCACGGCTCCTGCTGTACCAGCGATTGCCACGTCGCCCCATCTTGTTTTGTGTGGCCTACATCGCTCGGTCAAAAAGGCCAACTCCACAGCAGGGGTCTGCTGTCCATGGCGCGACGATGAGCGTGCGCTGTGCTTTCTCAGCCTCAAGCCTCTCGCGCCTACGCGCACGGGCTACCGCACGATTGTGCTCAATGCGCGTGCGAAGCTCATTTTCGAGAGGGACAGGGACAGAGTAGGGGAGCAGTAGCGGAACGGGGGACAGCGGCCGTTCCAAGAATTCGAAATGCATCTACGTTCTCTTGCTCCTCGTCCGCTTCAGGAGGGTCATTGGGCCGAGGAGTAGCGGACAGATCTGGCACAACGCTGTGAGAAGGCGGTTCGACTGTGGCTGGTGGTGCAAAACGCTCGCTCTCAGGGTCTGCTCTCTGCCTACGCTGGCCGTCTGACTGCCTTGCAAAGCTTGATGCCCAATCTTCCGTGACGCCTCTTTATGGGTCCCATTCTGCAACATGTTTCCAGAGATTGACGGAGCTCGCCCTCCTTCTCATGCATGTCCCAGGGTAACTCAGATCACGCACGAGACGTGGACATATGAGAAACGGCATCCACGATATTGTCTGCAAGTGCACTGCACAGGGTCAGAGGGTAAGTCTGCTTCTTGGCAGTATCCCACTCATTCCGTGTACGGTCAAACCCCATCAGCACCTCACGAGCACCACGACTGTGTGAGCACCTCCCACGTCCTGGTTTTCAATGCACCCTGCATGCAATGTGCCCATAACTAGTGCTTCTGTAGTATCTGTGCCGGCGCACGTGCAAGCTGATCATGCTCGCACTGGTCAAAGTCCGACACCGACGCTGCAGGTGATGTTTCTACTGCCCGAAATGGTTCGCACAGGAAGGAACTGGCCGCTGCTAGCCTCCAACTGGCTGGCATAAGATGCCCCATCCAGCAGTAAATGATGACAGCCAAGTGGACCCCAAACAGCTCAAACATAGCACTAAGTAGTCCGTTACCAGCAAGCCACTGTTACATTTGACGCGGTGTGACTGCTAGCTTACCCCAGCACATCATGGCATCTGAGTGGCGGTGGAGTGGACCGCGGCTCTCTGCGCATCGTAGTGCCCATCACGCCTCGCACAGGAGGGCCCCTGCTGCAACGCGTGTGCTCCCTCCAGGTGCCGAGAGTGCTGCGACGCATCATGCTGCCTGCAGCCCGAACCCGCGACGTCCTGATTTTTTCATGACGCGACCCCCAGAGCTCCGGACCCGTTCCCCAGAACCCGCTTCTCACCCTGAGTTGTGTTTTGATTGTCCCGAGGCCCGGTGAGGGCCCAGAGAGGCCGAAGACAGCGAAAAACCTCGCATCGTGATTTTGTCCTGCCTCGAGGGGGGGTCTGCAAGGAGGGAAGGAGGGAGGAAGGGGGGAGACCCAGGCAGCCTCTACGGCAAGGGCATCTACTTCGCCGAGAGCTTCACGAAAGCGGACCCGACCCGCGGGGGGGGGGGGAGGCGACAATCGCCTAAGGCGAGACGGCCGGCTGCAAGCAAAGCAGCTCTATAGGAGGGGGAGGCGGAGGAGGAGGGAGGAGGGGAGGAGGAGAGGAGGAGGAGGAGGAGGAGGAGGAGGAGGAGGAGCAGGAGGAGGAGGAGGAGGAGGAGAAGGAGGAGGAGGGGAAGGGAGAGGGGGAGGGGGAGGGGGAGGGGGAGCAGGAGGAGGAGAGGAGGAGGAGGAGGAGGAGGAGGAGGAGGAGAGGAGGAGGAGGAGGGGGCGGAGGAGGAGGGGGGAGGAGGAGGAGGAGGAGGAGGAGGAGGAGGAGGAGAGAGGAGGAGGAGGAGGAGAGGAGGAGGAGGAGGAGGAGGAGGAGGAGAGGGAGGGAGGAGGAGGAGGGGAGGAGGAGGAAGAGGAGGACAGGAGGAGGAGGAGGGGGGGGAGGGGGAGGAGGAACAGGGGGAGGAGGGGAGAGGAGGAGGAGGAGGAGGAGGAGAGGAGGAGGAGGAGGAGGAGGAGGAGGAGGAGGAGGGGAGGAGGATCAGGAGGAGGAGGAGGAGGTAGGAGGAGGAGGAGGAGGAGGAGGAGATGAGGAGGATGAGGAGGAGGAGGAGGAGGAGGAGGAGGAGGAGACACAGGGGGAGGATCGGGCCATGGCGGATCATGCTCATGGGCCCCAGGCGAGGCGGGGCCCGCCCTCCTCGGTCCACGGGGCGCGGCCCGCGACGACCACGGGGGGGGCCGCGGCCCGCCTCGCCCATCACCGGCGGTTCAGAAGACGATCCGGGAGCCTCTTCCTCATCCCCTTCCTCTCCTCCTCATCTCCTCCTGCCTCCTCCTCCTCTCCCCCCTCCTCCCCTCCTCATCCCCTCCCCCCCTCCTCCTCCTCCTCCTCCTTTTTCTCTCTCTCCCACTCCTCCTCCTTCCTCCTCATCCTCCTCCCCCTTTCCTTCCTCCTCCTCCCCCTCCTCCTCCTACTCTGTCCTCCTCCTCCTCCTCCTCCTCCTCCTCCTCCTCTTGCGGCCAAAGTGGGCACACGGAGGTCTGGCAGTCGTCCCCCCCAGAGCCCCTCGAGTCATGAAACAATCATGACACAACGTTGTTCGCCGTTTTCGGCCCTTTGAGGCCCTTACACGAGGCCTCGGGACCGTCAAAAAACGAGTCGAGATGAAAAACCGGCCCCGGGGAATGGGTCCGGACCTCTGGGGGTCGCGTCATGAAAACAATCGTGACGTCGGGGGGTCTTTGGTTGGGGCGTTCCAAAAAACGGCCTCGTCTTGTAGAGTCGAAGGAATTATCATCTCTTCCTCGGCGGAAGGGTGGCGGAGGGTCGGTGGAAGTATAATGGGGCCGCCTCCGCCGGTGGAAGCCGGCGGAGATTCGGCGGAAGACAGCGGAAAGACAAGATGTGCCCCGAAGAGATGAAAACGTTTTTGGGTTTAGGGTTTCCGAAGTCGCCCATTTGGCCTGGTTTTCTTGCACCTCCAGTGGTCCACAGTCGTTTGCTCGCGCCACGGGGGAGCCACTGGGGGGCTCAGGATGCCACTGGAGGCCGCGGGGGTGCCACTGGAGGAGACACTGGTGGCCGCTCTAGGCTTGCGAGGGGCCACGGGGGTCCAACGGTGGCCATTGGAGAGGCCACTGCGGCCACTCAGGTGATAAAGAGAGGCTGCCAGGAGCGGTTTCTGACCGGGGGGATGCTCGTTGAGAACTGTGTTCATGAGACCTCAGACCCCGGAGGAGTCCCTTCTATAGGAGGGCGGCGGTGATATCCATGGCCAGACTTGAGGTGGTCTTCCACCAGCTCTGAGACCCCAGATTCATCCACGGGCCCGGTATCGCTAAAAGTGCCCCTGGCCCGAGGTGCCCCCAGGATTTCCAAAGGGGCCCTCACGGCCTCCGGAGCACCCCGCACGAGGCCCAGGAAGCCCCCAGGGCTCCAAAACGGAGCGACGAGAGAGGGGGGGGGGCCTCTGGCCAGGGGCACCTTTCGCACACCCCGAGCTGGGGCCGCTCGGGTCACTCTTGCCCAGGGTCATTCTTACGTGTCGCCGAGATTCGGCTCCGGGGGGGAGCGTTCGACAGCTGTCGGCGGTGTCCCTGCAACAGTTCTCGAACCCCGCGGTGGTTTCCATCAGCTGCGCCTCGTCGAGCGCTTTCGGGGGGTGCAAGAATCGTCCCGAACGGCCGCCGGAGGCCCGAGTTGGGGCCTGAAGGCCAGGGAGCGAAAGGTCAGGGCCAACGTTCGGGGGTGGGGGGGCCAGCTCAGGGAGGGGGGATGCAGTCAACCCGCATGAGATGGGTAACCTTCCCAAGGGTCACCCTTACATCCTTGCCCCTTCGGCCCATCCTTGGCCACCTTCGCTGGCCGTGCCCCGCTCGAAACGCCTCGAAGTGGCATTCCGAGGCCCTTTGCATTCTTGTCGTGCATCCTTCTGATTGGGGCCCGCCGTGGAGCGAGGCGGCGCGGTGGTGGTGCGCAGCACCCCGCTGGGTGCGGGGCGGGTCGCCAGGGCGTGTCGCTCGAGCAATGGCGAAGCGTCCTGCCTGGCCTGTAGGCCCTCCAAAGAGAGTGTTCTAAGAACGGTTTGTGGTTTGCAGTAGTTGTTCTTAGAACGTGCCTGGTAGAGACCGTCTGGGTTTCACACCTCGGGCTTATGTTCTCAGAGCAGTGCTTTCGTTCTTGGAACATGTTGGGGTTCCAAGAAAACGTGGGGGGAGCGCGCGCGCGCCGGCACCGTTTTCTGATTTCTTCTGCGCATTGCCGTGGCGCAGGAAAAAAAAAGGTTGGGGTTCCAAGAAAATGTCGTGGTCGGCCTATAGGAATGACGGGGCGGTCGGTCCCTGCTCAAGCGCAGCGAGGCGGCGCGGTGGTGGTGCGCAGCACGCCGCGGGGTGCGGGGCGGGTCGGGGGGGCGGGTCCCCAGGCCCCCTTCGCGTCGTGATCGAGGTCACGACGCGAGGTCTTTCGCGATCCTCGGCCTCCTGGGGGCCCTCACGCCAAGCCTCGGGGCAGTCAAGGAACTGCTCAGGATGAGGAGCCAGTCCCTGGGAGTGGGCCCAGACCTCTGGGGGTCGCGTCATGAAACAATCACGGCGTCAGGGCGGTCGGGGGGTCGCCGGGTGCCTTCGCGGGGGGCGGGTCGCGGGGTGCGTCGCGGGGGTGGGTCTCGGGGGCGGGTCGCAGGGGTGGGTCGCGGGGCGGGGCGCGTGGTTCAGGAGCGAAAGAAGAACATAATTACATGTACATGGGTCCACGGTGGTTTCGAAAGTACGCAATGCGCGAAGGCTCGTACCGCGCTGCTGGTCTCGCGGACTGGGGGGCGTATTCATGTCCGTTGTTTGGCGCGTACGTCCTACGCGGGCTCCCTAAGGGTACCTTGCAGAGCGCGTCGCGGGGTGGTTCGGGAGATGGATCGCGCGGGGGGGGGGGAGACGCAACAAGCGTACCAAGCATTTTGAGCCTGTTCACTCACATGCTCGCGTGTCCGTCAACTTGTGTATCCCAAGCCTTCGATGCCCGCCTCCTTCGTCTTTGATCGTGCCCGCTTCGGGGGGGTATATCTTCCTTCCCAGCAACGTGTAATTGGCGCAGCCCCTAAAACAGTAATAACGTATACAAGAGGGAAGGAGAGATAAAGGACAGGAGGGATTAGCAAGAGAGCTTAGCAAGAAGGGATGGCAACGAAGTCTCAGGCGTAAGCGCGGTTCCTGAACAAATTGTGTGAACATCCGCAGCGAGAGCGCAATTTCAGAGCGCCGAGAAAGCGATTTATGAATAAGTCGTGAGGAAGTCCTAGGCTTGAGCGCGATTCCTGGATCAATTGTATGGAAGTTTCGCTCAGGAGTGTGATTTGTCAATTCCTTGTGATGGAGTATCAGGCGGGCGCCGCTGTCGTTGTAGCTCGGGGAGCAGGGGTCCCACTCTGAGGCGCATTATTCCTTTGTAGCAAAAGAGGCGTGATCTCTGGGAGGGGCATTTCCATTGACACAACACACATCTGTAACCGGAGGGGGGGAATTCCCTTCCACCCACGCACCAGGGGACGGTGTAACACCATTCGGTTCCCTGGAGTGCCAAGATTTCTTCTCGCTCCGCGCGGGTCCCGGAAAACGGGGGCCGCCAGAATCGCAGGTGCTCCAGCAACGCATCCTGAGCCGATCATGCCACGACATCAGTGTCGTCCCACTTGGATCACCGCGAGGGGGATGCAAGGTGGATTGTTCACCACGCCCGTGGGGGCCCTGCATACCAAGCTTCGAGGACCAAGGTGCATGGCGCGAAGCGCCACTGCAGTCTTGTACATATATATATATATATATATATATATATGTAATACCGGGCGTCCAGGTCCCCCGACCCAGGGGCAGCCCACTTTTCCAAAACTCCCCCACCCCCCCCGCACCCGATTTTAGTCCCCGGCGCCGGCGAGCCTATTTGAACGCTCCAGGGCGCTCCCTGCGCCTCGGAAGCCCCCCTGGGCGCCCGCAGAGGGCGCCCAGAGGCCGCCAAGACAGCCCGAGAGCGCACCAAGCCGCCGAAGATGGCCCCGTGATGGCCCAAGAGGCCCCCAAGAGGCCCCAAGAGCGCTCCAAGAGAACCTCCAAGAAGGCCCCAGGAGGCCAACATTGTCGATTTTCATTCCCCACATGCTTCGTGGGGTTCTGGTTTTCTTCCCTGCCGCGCCGCACCCGCGACACTCACCTCACTTCGTGGGGTTTTGGTTCCCCACATGTTTCGTGGGGTTCTGGTTTTCTTCTCTGCCGCGTCGCACCCGCGTCTCCTCACACAAACCTCCACTCCCCACACACACACACAGCACAGCACAGCTCGCACAGCTCAGCACAGCTCAGCTCAGCACAGCACAGCTGAGCACGGCACAGCACAGCTCACCGCAGCACAGCACAGCACAGCACGGCAGAGCACAGCACAGCGGGTCGGAGAGCGTGGCAGGAGTGGCACTTTCTCGACACCACAGGGGGTGCGCAGAGGG